TTAGTAGAGTGGGAGACAGGATGGAAGAGGTATTCTAGAACCAGTTTACTCTGGGCCCTGAACACAAAGCAGAAGAGACTGGAATTCACTTAGCAAGCAAGAGGAAGCCACATTCGATTGATCACTGATCACCAAGTTCTTCCCATTCCTCATGGAATACAGTTCAAGCATCTTAACATGCCAAGACTGCAGGGTCATCTGACTGGCAACCCTCCAACCTCCCTCTACACCATTTCCCCGACTCACTCCACTTCAGCCTCTGGTAAACTCTCTCCTCCTTGAACTAGCCCATCTCATTCCTGCCCCTGGGGTTTGTACTTGCTATCTCCTCAGCTAGAAAAGCCCTCCTCTTTAATAAAACACCCCTCTTTAAATGACAGGGTCATTTGCAACTTTCAACTCACTGCACCAGCCTTACCTCCGGGCTGTTCCTCCACTCTACCTAAAGTGGGTGCTCCTGTCCTGCCCACCCCAACCTTCCTCAATCCCCTCCTCATTAGTCACAGCCTAGAACGCCCTGTTTGCCTGTTTACATGTTTTTTTCTGCCTTTGGATTAGGATGGGCTGAGGGAGTCCACACTCACTCACAGGCTCTTTAACATGGGCCCGCAGCAGGTGCTCACACGAGGGGCAGGACAGGAGGCCAGGGAAGTGCCCCAAGCATGCAAACAGAGCCAACAGGCATGAAGCCAGCCCTCCTGGTGCGCCTCCTCCCTCTGAGCAAAGCCTTAGGCTTTAAGCTGCTGGGGAAAGGGCAGCGGACGTCACCACAAGGACAGGCAGAAACACCCTGCAGCCAGGGGAAGGACAGAGAAGGAGACCCTCTACCACAGGGGAGGCAGGAAACTGTTGTGAGACCAAAATCCCACACCAAAAGTATTTCAGTCCGTCTCATGGGGGAGCAGCTGGAAACACAGGGATGGCCAAGATGGAGGCTGGACCAGGAGAATGGAGCAGCCCCCCCTCCCCAACCAGAAGCCCAGCCCTGAGTGGGAGGCAGCAGCAGCAGCCCACTGCCAGGGCGGCGGTGAGGAGGTGGGCGGGGACGCCCCCCAGCCCATGGTGCAGGAGGCTGCAAGCTGAGCAGGGCCACTAGCACTGGGAAAGGCCCCCAGCGTCCCAGTCCCCACAAGGAACTGGCAGGCCATCGCTGGAATAATGAAAAGCCAGTGTACACTGAACATCCAAGCCCAGCTCAACTCTCGAATGGGCAGGCTCAACTGTCTTTCCAATCACCTGACAGAACGGTGCCCACTTCCAGCCTCCAGAAGCTACCCACTTCAGCCGTGAGAAGAAAAGAAACTCTTTCTCTGAGGAACGCAAGTCCCCTTTCATTGTCAGGCTCAGAGAGGCACTGAGATGTTGCAGTGTGCGACAGCAGCCGTCTTACCCTCCCCCTTGAGCTAAATAATTACCTTCTGAAGCCACCTGCTATGTGTGCCCTACACTAACCAAGTGCCATAAAAGGCCACACACCGGACATTAAACCAGTCAATCACTAACCAATGTTATCTCTGTAAGCCAATGGGGATTTCTGTCAAACAACTATCAGCCCACCCCTCATCCCCTTTTGCCTTATAAAACCTGCTTGTAACAACGACCAGATAGAGCACTGTCCAAGGCAACTTCAAGTGTGCCCTGGGCAACTGAGTTCAATCTTGGCTCTCAAATAAACTCGCTATATTAATTTTGCCTCAATTTCTTTCTTTAGGTCAATAGTACCTACTGTTAACCAAAATTAAATACACACACACACACATGCATGTGCACACACACACAAGAGGCACATGCTTTCACTGTCAAAGCAATCAACTCTGCCAGACTCTGAGATGACCTGGGTGTTGGAGCTCTCAGAGACTTTAAAATAACTGTGTTTAACATGCTAAATGATCCAGAGGAAAAGGTGGACAACATGCACTCACAAGTGGGAATTTAGGCAGAGAGAGGATCAAACAAAATGCTAGAAATAAATATCAGAGCAAGAGAGATGAAGAAAGCCTGTGACGGACTTATTAGGAGACTTGAGAAAACTAAGCAATCTGTAGGAAACTTACAGATAGCCCAATAAAAATTACCCAATCAGAAACACAAAGTGGAAAGAAAAAAGAGGTAAGAAAAGGAAAGTGAGGGTAAGGGAGTAGAGGGAAGGAAGAAAGGTAAGAATGAAAATAGACAAGCATGTTGGGAGCCACAGGACAGTATCAAATAGTGTGACAAATAACTGGTTTTGCAGAGGGAAAAGAAAGAATAATCAGAGAGCAGTACAAATATGTGAAAAAATAATGGCCACAGATTTTCCCGAAATAATGAAAACAACAAACCATACATCCAAATAGCCTAAATAACCCATAACGAGGATGACTAAGAATATGAAAGAATAAACATACAGAAGGAATTTTTAAAATACTGAGGAAAAAGAAGAAAAGGGAGGAAAAAAATTAGATATCATATTCAAACTCCTGAAAACCAAACAGAAAGAGAAAATCCTGAAAGCAGCCAGAGGGTAGAAAAACATTACACATAGAGCATCAAAGGTAAAAATTAAAGCAGATTTCTCAACAGAAACCATGGAGTGATATTTTTACACTACTGAAAGGAAAAAGAAAACTGTCCAACCCAGAATTTCACATTGAGAAATAATTTAGCTTTCAAAAATGAAGGCCAAAGAAAGACTTTTTCAGAAAAGCCAAAGCTGAGAGATTTCACTGTCTTCAGACCTATACTGAAATGTTAAAACTTAAATGGGGATCTCTACGTATAAATGAAGAGCTCTGAAAATGGTAAAATTCTAAAAAGAACTTTAAGAATTTTATTGATTCAAAATTTCACCAATGTAAAAGATAATACAGTATAAAGCCATACTGTCCAATATGGCAGCATGGCAGGTAAAATAATGTCCCTGTAAAATGACCACACCCCAACCTCTAGAACCTGTAAACGTTTCTGTATGTGGCAAAGGGGACACTGCAAATGCGATAATGTTATGTACTTTCACATGGGGAGATTATCCTGGGTTATGGCAGGACTCTCAAATTTAATTACAAAATCCCATAACAATGGAGAATCTCTTCTAGCTGAAGTCAGAGGTATCAAACAAGCGAAGAGACAGGAGAGAAACTGGAAATGAGACCTGACCTGCCATTGCTAGCTTTTAAGATGGAGAAAGAGAGCTGTCATCCAAAGAACATGGTGGCCTCTAAAAGCTGGGAACGGCCTTCAGCTGACAGCTCACAAGAACATGACAACTACAGCTACAGGATTTAATTCTGCCAGTAACCTGACTAAGCAGGGAAACGGACTTTCCCCTGGGGCCTCCAGAAGACAGACCTGCTGACACCATCATTATAGCAAGCTAAGACCAGGGTCAGGCTTCTGACCTACAGAACCACAAGACAGTAAGCACTGTGTCTACCACTACATTTGCAGCAATTTGTTATGTAGCAAAAGAAAATGAATACGTGTATATCTTGTTTTGTTGAGCTTCACTTTACTGAGCCTAACAGATACTGTGCTTTTTACATTAAAGGTTTGTGGCAACTCTGCAGGGAGCAAGTCTGTCTTGGCACCATTTCTCCAAACATGCACTTACTTCTTGTGTCGGACACATTTTTGGTAATTCTTGCAATATATTTCAAACTCTTGCATTATTATTATTATATCTGTCATGGTGATCTGTGATCAGTGAGCTTCGTTTTTACTGTTCTAATTGTTCTGGGGCTGCATTAACTGTGTCCATGTAAGATCGTGAACTTAATAAATGTTGTGTGCGTTCTCACTGCTCCATCAACCGCCATTCCCCAGTCTCTCTGCCTCTCCTTGGACCTGCCTGTTACCCAAGACCCAACAAGGTTGAAATTATGCCAGTTAATAATTCTACAAGGGCCTCTAAGTGTTCAAGTGAAAGGAGGAGTTGCATGTCTCTAGCTTTAAATCAAAAGCTTACTTCAGACGGCACGTCGAAAGCTGAGATAGGCTGAAGGCCAGGATGCTTGTGCCAGTAAGCCAAATTGTGAATGCAAAGGAAAAGTTATTGAAGGAAATTAAAAGTGCTACTCCAGTGAACACACGAATGATAAGAAAGCGCACAACAATCTTATTGCTGATATGAAGAAAATTTTAGTGGTTTGGACAGAAGATGAAACCAGCCACAACATCCCGTCAGCCAAAGCCTAATCCAGAGAAAGGCCCTAACTCTCTTCAATGCTATAAAGGCTGAAACAAGGGAGGAGGCGGCAGAAGAAAGGCGAAAGCTAACAGAGGTTAGTTTAAGAGATAAAAGGAAAGAGGCCATCTCCATCACATTAAAGGGCAAGGTGAAGCAGCAGGTGCTAATGTAGACACTGCAGAAAGTCATCCAAAAGATTTCACTAAGATAACTGAGGAAGGTGGCTAGAGGAAACAATGAATTTTCAATGTAGATAAACCAGCCTTCTATTGGAAGAAGATGCCATCCAGGGTTTTCATAGCTAGAGAGGAAAAGTCAATGCCTGGCTTCAAAGCTTCAAAGGACAGGCTGACTCTCTTGTTAGGGGCTAAAACAGCTGGTGGCTTTAAGTTGAAGCAAATGCTGATCTACCATTCCGAAAATCCTTAGGACCCTTAAGAATCAGGCTAAATCTACTCTGCCTGTGCTCAACAGATGGAACTACAAAGCCTGGATGACAGCACATCTATTTACAGTATGGTTTACTGAATTTTCTTTCTTTTTTTTTTTTTTTTTTCTTTTTTGAGACAGAGTCTCACTCTTGTTGCCCAGGCTGGAGTGCAGTGGCATAACCTTGGTTCACCACAACCTCTGCATCCAGGGTTCAAGCCATTCTCCTGCCTCATCCTCCGGAGTAGCTGGGATTACAGGCGTGTGCCACCACACCCAGATAATTTTGTATTTTTTGTAGAGACAAGGTTTCTCCATGTTGGTCAGGCTGGTCTTGAACTCCCAACTTCAGGTGATCTGAACATCCCAAAGTGCTGGGATTACAGGCGTGAGCCACCGTGCCCAGCCGGTTTACTGAATATTTTAAGCCCACTGTTGAGAGTCACTACTCAGAAAAAAAAAAACTTCCTTTAAAGTATCACTGCTCATTGACAATAAATCTTGTCATCCAAGAGCTCTAATGGAATATTTTGACTTTCAAGCCTTACTATTTAAGAAATTCATTTCATAAGGTGATAGCTGTCCTAGATATTGATTCCTCTGATGGAACTGGGCAAAGTAAATTGAAAGCCTTCTTGAAAGGATTCACCATTCTAAATGCCATTAAAAGTATTCATGATTGATGAAAGGAGGTCACAATAGCAACATTAACAGGAGTCTAGAAGAAGCAGATTCCAGTCCTCATGGATGACTTTGAGGGATTCAAGGCTTCAGTGGAGGAAGTCCCTGCAGATGTGCTGGAAAGAGCAAGAGAACCAGAATTAAACTGGTGCTTGAAGATGTGACTAAATTGCTCCAATCTCATGATAAGGCTTGAATGGATAAGGAGCTACTTCAATGGATGAGAAAAGAAAGTGGTTTCCTGAGATGAAATCTGTAAACACTGCTGAAATGACAACAAAGGATTTAGAGTACTACATAAACACGATTGAGAAAGCAGTGGCAGGGTTTGAGAGGACTGACTTCAATTCTGAAAGAAGTTTCACTCTGGGTGAAATGCTACCAAAGAGCATCACACGCTTCAGAGAAACCTTTCATGAAAGTAAAAGCCAATGTGGCAACCTTCATTGCTTTATTTTAAGAAATGGCAACAGCCACCCCAATCTTTAGCCACCACTACCCTGATCAGTCAGCAGCAATCTGCAATGAGGCAAGACCCTCTACTAGCAAAAAGATTATGACTGACTGAAGACTCAGATGATCGTTAGCATTTCTGGGCAATATTTTTAAAATTAAGGTATGTATATTGTTTTATTAGACAAAATGCTATGAAAGCCAATACTCATTTACACAATTAACAGACTACAGCATAGTGTAAACATAACTTTGGTATGCATTGGGAAATAAAAAAATTCGTGCGACTTGCTTTATTGCAGTATTTGCTTTACTGCAGTGGTCTAGAACTAAACCCACGACATCTCCACAGTATGCATATTCAAGAAGCCACCAGGCACACTGCGTATTGGCTAGTCACATTTTAAAACAAAGTATGCAGTTCAACAAAGTTAAGAGGACACAGAAAGTGCGTTCCCTGAACACAGCAAAATTAAAATAAAAACAAATAGCAGAAAGATATGTGGAAAATCGCCAGATGTTTGGAAATTCATCAATGCAATTCTGAATAGCCCAGGGTTCAAACAGGACGTCACAAGAGAAATTAGAAAAATCAAAATAAAACTAGCAAACTAAGAAACTATGATAAAGAATATCCACCTCATGTTGATGACATGCAATACTCAAAACTAAATCCTAGAAAAATCTTCTCCTGAGGTCTGGGATAATAGGAGGATTCCTGCAATAGCCACTTATTTTTAATCACTTCTGTAGACCAGTTCAGCTAACACAATGAAAGAAAAAAAAGAAATGAAATATAAATGATGGTAAGAAAATAGCATTATTTCTTGATAATAAAATGTTCTCTTAGAGAACCCAAAAGAAATCACTGAAAATCTAAACCTAACAAGAGTGTTCAGTACAGAAATACACAAATATCAGTCTTTTTCCTTATGCCATAAATGATTAGTTAGAAAACACAATGGAAAATATTCTTTGATTAATATTAATAAAAATATTAAAATGCCATGACGTAATTTAGCACAGAATATTCTAAATATACAGAAAATTTTAAGTTTTTAGTATGAGGTGTTTTTTTTTTAATGTCTTACATAATAAAGAAACACAGCATGCCTCTGGGGAAAAAAATCATATTTTGAATACGTCAATTTGCAAATATCTAAGTTTTATAAAATCTGAAACAATAAAAACTTTTACTCTTTTCAGAAATGTAACATGCCTCCAATCTTCATGAGAAAATAACCACTCTAAATTAAACAATAAAATTCTGAAAGAAAATTATGTAAAGACAACTTATGGAAAAGATATTAAATGATTAAGACAGTATTTTCTCAAGATCAGATCCATGGTTAAACCAAGAATCCATAAGAAGATCCTGTCATACACACACACACACACACACACACACTCTCATAGCAAATGAAAAAGGTGCCATATTTCAGCATTTTGGGGAAAAGAGATAAGATTCAAGTCTCATACAACGGATGGTAAAATAGAAGCAGATCTTAAGCAAACACCATGTACCAAAATAAGTTCAATAATTCATTGTAAGAAATAAAACCACAGAAAGAACAAGAAAAATAGGGATAAATATTTAGCTCACCTTGGGCTGGGATTATATTTCCTAAGCAAAAAAGTAAGCAAAGCAATTTGAATACATAAAAACTAAAGACTGTGTTTGTGTGAGAGTGTGTAATTTTCATTTTAAAAAGCAAGTGACAAACTGAGAAAGTATCTGCAACATGTAAGGCAAGGGTTAATATGATAACATATAAAGAACTTTTATAAGGGACTTATAGTAATGAAGAATTAAGTAATTCAGATGATCCTCCTCCTCTGAGAACAGATTACCTAGACAAAATATAAATATTATCAGCTTGAAGGCAATTAAGCAGTAAAAAGAGAGTTACTAAGACAAGATCCAGGAGAGGATAACCAGGTCCAAAAAGGGGAGATCGGTATGTGGGGCTCCTTTTGCTCAGGGAGGGTTTATCTATTCAAAAGAGCAGCTAAAATGCTGGGCAGTTCTGACAATCTAAAGGAGCTAAAGGTACAAAGGACAGAACCCAGGGCATGCCACGCATGGAGTCCATGTTAAAACCTGCATGTTTTCAGTTGAGAACGTAAAGGGCTTCATTCTGGGAATAAGGGAGAACTGGATAAAGATCAAGCTTCACATAAACTGCAACTCACTCTCAATGGCCCCAAAAATCCCACACTCCAAAACTCAATTAAGATGAATCTTAGATTGTCAGTTCTCCTATAAGCCTGGCAGAAGAAAATTGAAATCTTCTTTGAAGGAAGATATTGTCAACTTAGGCTTTAAAACATTTCTATAATTTTAAAAATAAAATGTCCATCACATATTCAAAGATAACCAGGCATCTGAGAAAAGAATTCAACATGAAAGAACCAATATTATAAACAGATTTACAAGGGTCCAATATACTGGAATGAATACACAAAGACTTTAAAACAAATGTGCTAATTTAATAAAAACAAAAATACTGAAAATTTCAGAAAACTCAAAGTATAAAAGACATAGCAGATTTGAAAAGCCAAATATAAATCACAGAACTGAAAAAAATACTGTAATAGAACTAAGAAAGATTTAAGCTTAGATTAGGACAACGGAAAAAGACAGTTGCTGGGTGCAGCGGCTGGGACTGCCACTCCCAGCTACTCAGGAGGTTGGGGCAGGAAGATTGCTTGAGGCCATAAGTTTGAGACTAGGCTGAGCAATATAGCAAGACTTTGTCTCTAAAACAAAAAATATAAATATAATCTGGGTGCAGTGGCCCATGCCTGCAGTTCCAGCTACCTGGGAGGCTAAAGCAAGAGAACTGCTTGAGCCCAGGTGTTTTGAGGCTATAGTGAGCTATTATTAGACCACTGGGCTCCAGCCTAGATAACAGAGCAAGAAGACCCTGTCTTGGTGGCGGGGGCGGGGAGAAAGAGAGAGAGAAATAAATAAAGGATAAGTCCGATGAAAACAACACAGAATAAAGTATTAGGAGACCAAAGGATACAACATCCAGAAAGTAACAAAACAAAGACAGAAGATGGAAAGATAAACAATGGGGCAGAGGCAACATGTGAGGAGATAAAGTCAAAAAATGGTTACAAATGAATGAAATGCATGAATGCACAGATCCAAGAGCACTCCAAACCACAAGCAAGGTAAATATAGAGAAATCATACCTGCACACATCACTCTGAAACTGCAAAAGTCAAAGCAAGGCCCAAAATCTTAAAAATAATTTTAAAAATTACTGGTAATTTTTAAAAGCCAGATTACCTTCAAAGAAGCAACAGACTGAAACCTCTACATCAACAATGTACTCAAGAAAATAAAATGGCAGGCTAGACTTCTGTGCTTCCAAACCCAGCAAGAATATTTTTCAAGAGTGAAAGGAAATAGAACTTTTCTAATAAATGACACTTGAAAGAATTTGTCACAACAGACTTGCACAAATGGAAAACTAAAAAAAAACCTCTTTAAAATTACGAGAATATTTTATTCCATCTTAATTTATTTGGACAACTTGAATGACACATAACATTTAACTTAAACTATAGATAAAATTGGCCCAAGAAAGTAAAAACTTGAACAGGCCTAAGACTGAGGAAGAAAATAAGAATACACTATTCAAGACCGACACAATACTCTTCTCCTTCCCTCAAAAACACTCAAAACTTTCAAGTAACATATATTAAACTTCCTAGAATATTAAATATAGCAACAGCTATCTAATACAGTTAAGTCCAGATGGATAAAAAAAGTAAGTCTCCACGTGTGGCACAGCCATTCATGCAGTTGTCTAAACTAGAAACTATCCTCTACTCTTGTAGCCAGTTACCACTTCTGCTCACTTTTTCTCCAAATCATCGTTTTTCAAATACATCCTCTGGTGAACTCTGAAGATGAGGAAGCCAGGGTCTACGTTCTGGCTCTGCCGCTTTAGCTATGTGACCTTGGGTAAGTTCTATTATTGAGGCTTCATTATCTGTAAAACACAGATAATGGCACCTCATGGGGTTGTGAGAATTATTTGAGATAATGCATGTAGACAGCTTGGCATAGTGCCCAGAACTTCAATTTTAGTTCATTATTATTGCTTCTGTTGATATTATTATCATTATTACATAATCAACACCATTGCTGGTTTCAATTGCAATACTAGGACAAGATGGCTACACCACTATTTCAGCATGTGTATTTCTACCTTACTAAAGAGCCGGGATTAATACTGGTATTTTAGCTTCAATGAAACTAAATGTTTAATACCCTTCTCATAAAAAAAACTCATAAACATATATTTTATTTAATGTTTTTAAATAATTTTCTTTAAAAAGCTATTATTCTATTAAAATGCAAAATTAATAAACTAAACTGAATATTAAAATAAAATAAACATAAAAACAAAATAATAATCATTTTATAAGTATGCCCTTAAAAATTGACAACACTGGGTCACAAGTGTATTTCTATACTAAAAGTTTCAACTGTTAACATGCTCTGACTCTACCTTATTTAAAAGAAAGAAAATGAGATCACATATATTTGCATCTTCAAATAATCCGCTTCTTGCTTGATGCTTATGGAGATGCTTTTTTACTTTGAGTTTTTTTTTTTTTTTTTTTTTGGGAAGAACTGCAGTTGTACGTCAAGCTGTATTTTTGTTTCAAAGAAAACATTTCCAGCAGCACTTACCTTTGTTAGTTTCCTCATTTAGAGGGATTCAAATGCAGAATTACCTGTTATCAGTATGACAGCAATGTTCCTAGTCTACTTGTCTGGAAAGCCTTGGTGTCATTTGTAGGAAAGAAATTCTGTTTTGCTGACTGATATTTCTCTTCCTCTTAGGGACAATGTGGGACTGGACGAATTTTTTCACATCAGTACACCTTTCTGTTATTGATTTTTAACTTTGATCCACAGCAGTTGGAGGAAACTGTATCATTTCAATCCTGTTTGATTTAATGATCAACTGCTTTATGGCCTAGGTGATGCTCTATCCTGAAGAATATTCTATGTATAGTGGAGAATATGTATTTTGTTGTTCTTCTGTGGAGTATTTAGGTCTACTTGGCTCATAGTGTTGGTTGTCAAGTCTTCTATTTCCTTGATGACCTTCTGTCAAGAAGATTCCAACCATTATTACATGTGGGGTATTGAGTCTCCAACTGTGATTGCTGAATTATCTATTTCTCCCTTCATTTTTATCGGTTTTTGCTTCATGTATGTCGAGGCTCTGTTGTCAGGTGGATACATGTTTGCAACTGTTATATCTTCCTGATGAATTGACACTTTCATCATTAGAAAATGTCCCTGCTTACCACTAATAACATTTTTTAAAGTCCCTTTTGATATTGACATAGCAACTCCAGCTTTCTGATGCCTGTTATTTGCATGATATATCTTTTCCTATCCTTTCACTTTCAATAGATTTGTGTCTTGGATCTAAAGTGAGCGCCAGTGCCAACAGTACAGCGTCCGATCTTGTTTCTTTAATCTAGTCTGACAATCTCTGCCTTTTGATTGGACTGTTTAATCCATTCACATTATTGATATTACTGACATCGCTGGATTTATGCCTGCGATTTAACTTTTTGTTTTCTGTACGTCTTGGTCTGTTTTTTTTTTGTTGTTGTTCCTCTACTTCTCCTTTAACATTTTCTTTTACATTAAGTGAATATTTTCAAATATATTATTTATGACTTTTTCACTTACAGGGATTTTTGCTTATTTCCTTTGAAGTAGCTCTAGCACTTACCTCACATCTTCAGAGTGTGACGTGGCAACATTACGCCTATATAGCTCTATTTTCCTTTTTCCCCTTTTTGGTATTACTGTTACACATATTTATAAATGTTACAGTTCAGAAATACACTGTTATCATTACTTAACTATGTCTTTTAAAGACTCCACTAAGAAAAGAAAGTATATACTTAAGAATATTTGCCAAAAAAAAAAAATAAAAGAAAAGAAAATTTGCTATATTAACCTTCTTATTTGCCTCTTCACTTAAGCACTTTGCCTGACTCCTGACAGGCACTTCACAGAAAGTGGTAAGAACAATTTTACAACTCAAGACAGGTCCTCTTTGGCTATGATATATCTGGGTTAGCACAAAAGGCAATAGAAAAGTGACAACTGATGTGTCATGAAATACATTTTCTATTTTTACAACTTGCTCTAATGTTGGATAGTATGGTTTGTACAAAAGTGACAGAACGCTGAAAGACAAAAATCTGAATGCTGCTAACAAGGTAACTGACACTGATGAGTAAACCAAATGCATACTATCGCTCATCCAAAATGCTTGGGACCAGAAGTGTTTTGGGTTTCTGATTTTTTTTTCCAGATTTTAGAATATTGCATTATACTTACCGGTTACTACTCTGAAAATCTGAAATCTGAAATACTCCAATCAGCATTTCTTTTGAGCATCATATTAGTGCTCAAAAAGTTTCAAATTTTGGAGCATTTTAGATTTCAGATTTTCAGATTAGGAATACTCACCCTGTTTTCTAACATATTTTTACAGGTTTAAGAAAATCACTTTGTAGAAGGTTGATTCAGCCTTCAATTAAGACACTGGCCAGGTTTACAGAAAAACAGTCATATTCTGCCCTGAGTCTTTCAAATTTATATTCTCTTGCTCCATTTTCATGAGAAAGATTCCAAAGATTTCAGTGATTTTTCTAAGTTCTAGGATCTCTAAATTTCAGATTAGTGTCCAGTGTTATATCTCTCTCTTATGAGAGTATACGGTAGTTAAATCCACAAGAATATAGTATGATACTGATTTATCCAACTAATGTGTGCCGTGGACCACTCCACTACTAAATAAATATTCAGGAATTTTGCAAGCTGCAACCATTTGGTAGATTGAAATCAACCATGGTGGGGAGTATTTGCACCACTTTGAAAAATGCTACAAATTGTTATCTCCCTCCCCAGCTGCCCCTCTAAGTCTGGCCCAGCTAGTTTACCAGCCTACCATGGACCCTACATCAGTAAGAAAAGCTTAAATCCAGGGCAATACTGTCTATTACCAAGACAGGGAAATGTGAATGCCCCTTGATAAACATTTCCACCACCAGGATGTTTGAACGGTAGTGTTAATACCAGAAACCTGGAATCCTCAATTCTTTAGACTATCACAACCTCTCACCAGGTTTACAAAGGTGTTATGATATTACAAAATAGCTACACTGAGAATAGTCTTAGTCTTCCTGATTCAATGATGTCATAAGAAACGCTTCATCTGGAGTTGTTCACGGTCTCTATTCAAGGTTAAAGAAGGAAGCTTTTATTTTTGTTACAGTGACATACACAAACTATTTGTATACATCACTGCACCAGATAATTTAATATGATGGAAGAAACAATTTACTTCAGAAAAGCAATCTAGATTACGCATCTAACCACACTTAAGAAATAAAAGAAAGCTGTAATAAACACTGTTTACAAATCCTGCCTGTAAAGGAATCCATCCTTTCTGACCTCCCTAACATCCATCATCATTGATTCAATACACATTTGTCAAATGCCTACTACATGCACTAGTAACTGTAGTAAGTGCTGCACTATGACTGTAGGCAAAGCTTTAAGGGGAAAATGAGAGGAGACCCTGGCAGAGGTGAGAGGGTGAGGGTGCGCAGCAGTAGGTTGCATCTGTTACCAAGTTTTTTTCTTCACATGTTAAACAGTTATTAAATAGCTAACCACATGCTGTGGGGTGGGCCTGCTGAAATAAACACTCCTCCAGGCCAAAAACTCAGTGACATTTCCCTCCCTTTCTGCTCCTCCTTTGCAGTGGGCTGGACTCCCACGGTGTCTGCCCCTCCGGTTCCAGCAGTCCATCTCCCACCACAGATGAGGCCATGCATGAATGTTGCCACATACAGTTGTTTCCATTGTGATGCTCTTCCTTCCTCTTCCTGCCCTTTCCTACTCATCCACAGACTCTAATTTGATACTTCCAACTGCTATCTTAAACAAAATAATTTTATACGCCATTCTTGGTATTCAGGGAAAAATTCTAAGACACATCCTTCAAAGTTTGATAAATTTCCTGTGTACAGCACAGCCCCATAAAATACAGTGAAACAATAAAAGGTGTTATTTTATAGTGAAACAATAAAAGGTATTATTTTATAGTGAAAAAATTAAAGAACATCATATTTTTGTTTGAATGATACTTTGTTATTTCCACGCTTTGCTCTTTAAACTTTTTAAATTCATTTTCTAGACATTCCTAGTTCTTTATCTGTCTTCAATTTATCTGCCTTCTCTCATTTTTATTTTCTACTATTTCTCCCTGCAAATTATATTCTTCATCTTTATGCAACATGTCTGCTCACTTCTCTAAGGAAACATGAGAACAAGTCTCTATGAAGGCAAAATATATATACAAGCTTGCCTCTTTCTTTCTTTTTGGTCTTACACAGAGAATACAGTAGCAAACCTGGAGAAAAGCCTAAATAGATGAAGAGCAACACATATTAACCTTATAAGTCACCCCGTGGCATTATTTATACAGAAAATACTGCGACATATGGCATGAAGTCAATTACCTAAGAAGCAAAGTGAAACAAACAAAACCTGGGTTTTTCCCCTTATACCACTCTTCTATGAATCCCCAAATGAGCCTCTAAGATAAGATTCATTCCTTTGTTTTTCACAGTCCTCAGGGATGCTCTCAAAGCAGCTCAAATCCGCATGCCATGACCTTAATTACTTTATCTCTCTTGTCAAAAAATGTAGCAGTGGACATAAATATGTATTTAATATAATGTAAGACAAATTTTAAAAAACATTTTAATCTCTCTAAAATCAGGATGCATCTTCTAATCAATTATAAGAGCACTGTGTCATAACTTAATTGGCAGTGACTTTTCTCCTTGCTAAAGGATGCATAAAATCATTGTGCATCTTGCAATCAATAGCATTTTGAAGTCAATGAAATATGCTATAAGTATGCACAAGAATGTGAGTCTTTCTATGAATCATCCTATAAAATTAAAATCAGGTTAGCTACTTAAGTCTCTAATTTAATAAATCGCTCAACAGACGGTCGTAAGTAACACTGTTAGGAAATATTGAGAATTTTTGCCTTTCATATTTCATAAGGAGTAATGTTTTGTGATTCTAACTTAAACACAATAAGGACAGGATATTTGAAGACATTTATTTTACATTAATGTACTACAAAATGCTTTGTTTATATCATTATGCAAATCATCTTTTATAAAGCTGGCAGTCTATCTGTGAAAGGCAATGATCTCTTGGGATTTGGCATGTTTAAATCTCAAAATATTGACATGGCATTTAAATCTCAAAATATTGACAATATAAAAGTATCATGGTTAGCACATGATACCTTTAACTTATACAAATGACACAAAAAATTAAAATAATACTAATTTCTCTGTAATTCAAGCTCACAACATTCACTGTCTATTATACTAAGAGAATATACTTCATAAGACATGAATATTTAAATTTGAAATTTTAATAGTAAAATAAGGAGATGAGTTTCTTTTCCAAAAAATAAAAAATCTGTTGCTGTTTTCTCAAGGGAAATTTGTTAGGCACTGCTGCCAGTCTACCTCATGAATTTCTGCTCAACCCATTCAGGATTTATGATGATCTGGGTAGGAGCTGGGTTAATGCTTGCGGGCTCCTTTAGGGCTTAGACTTTTTCTTTCCTATCTATTTCTCAGGGCAAAAAAAAAAAAAAAAATGCTGATGCAGAATAATTTGCTAAATAAATTATGAGAGTTACAAGGAGAAAACATGGTAATTTTTAGGGCATTTAATATTAACAGAGTAGGAACTACAAATACTGTCATTTAAAATAAACCTCTATTAAACACGTTCATTAAAATACATTATTTCCTAATGATTAAGAAACCCAAAGACCATAACTGGTTAAAAAATACACTAGTTGGCATCAATATAATATTAAAATAATAAAACTGCATTCCTTTAAAAACACTCTATCATTCAGGCATCTCACAAAAGCACTACACTAGCCTTTCCGGTAGCCATAACAGTATGAGCTTTCACTTTGTAAACTGTCAATACCTTTCTAAGGTAAGCCTATCAAGTTTTGTTTTATTGTACAAACGTTCTCCCAATTTTAAAACATTTTCATCTTATCTTTTATAGTATTGACATTCTTCATTTTAATTTATAAAATATGCCCAACTTTTCTACTATACCACCTAAATTACAGTGTTACACGGGAAGGACTCTGTCATCCCTAATTAGAAGAATATGTTCTTGTACTTTCATAATTATACTCAGCAGAAGTTTTACGGAAGACAGTGTCATTGGCAATAAAGCACTGCCTTATTAACATAAAATATTTATTGAAAATTAGCCTTCATTTAAAAAAAATGTCATATGTGGTAATTAAAATTGTTTTAAATGAGAGTCAGTATTTTCCACCCCTTGGAAACTCATTCATGTTACCTTCAAAAAAATATTATTATTTTTATAATATCATTATAAAATGCATAAAACTATTATTCATTTTTTTAAGTGTAGAAAAGTAGGCAAGAAAGGAGCATTTTTACTGACACACTGATCCAGTGGAGTGCCACTCTCACTTCTGACTTAGTCTCATTTTACACAGGAACCTAACTTCCCTCAAGCTTCCCCAGATAAGACAAGGGTACTTCAGGGCATAAACTGTGCCTATGTTAACAAAAATCCCACTTATCAACTGACTTTTCAGAGCAAATATGAATATCATTCAGTATCACTATAACAGATTTCCTTGCTATATTTCTTAACCCATATAAGCTACCTATACATATTAAGGCCCTCTTACACTTATATAGATGGTAATATTCACAGAAATTATTTAAAAAATAAAAATATTCTAGGGTTGAAGTATATAATGTAAGAGTCATGCCTCCGTTGCTGAAAAGAAATTACTGGTAATGATAGTGGCAATTGTAGGTTTTTATTGTGAGAGAGAGAATGTAAAAAAAAAAATCATAATGCAAAGCTGACGTAAAATCTCTACCTTTTTCTATGGCCATTGTCTGAATCCTAACTATTTTATTCTGGATCATTCTAACATTTTTGTAGGTGACTGCTATCATAATCTCATCATTCAAAAGGGTAAGTTAGAACAGAAAGATAACTGTACCAGAGACCAGAAATTCAACTATCACTGTAACACAGATCTTATCCAGTTATACCAGGGAATACTATCAGAACAGCACAGTCAAGACGTGTGGGCTTAATTTTCCTCATGTACTTTCTGGTTGCACTCCCTTGGGTTAAGTTATTTAACGTCATTCAACTTCAGCTTCTTCATCATGGCAAAATGATTAATTTACTTATAAAATGCTCAATTTCTAACATAAAATCTATTAGTATTTTATATCACATTCTCAGAAAATTCTTATTACACAATATTCAAAAACAGAAGAAATAATTTTGGATACCCTAAATGGTTAAAAAAAAAAAAAAAAACAATTAACAACATCTACAAAATAAATAAGATCCCCATCCATGTGGGGAAAAAAATTTCAAACACAATTTAGGGTTGGGGGGAAGGTCAGAGAAGAAACCAGCAAAGAAAAGAATGAAACCAATATAAACTTGTTTATGATACATCTAAAGCAATACTTATAAGGAAACTAACAGCTTTAAGGGATTCCAACAGAGCAGAATAAAGACTTAAAAATGAATGAGCATTCCAAGCTAAGAAATTTGAATAACAGAATAAACCAAAAGAAAAAGACAGGAAAAGACAATAAAGAACAAAATTTAATGAAACTAGAAAGGATGAAACAAGAAAGTATCATGAAAATCAGATGTTGGCAGAATAAAAAGAAAGTAAAACACAGAAAGCTGGCAACACTAATCAAGAAAATGAGGAAAGGCACAAATGAATGACAGAAGCAATAAAAAATAGAGAACTATTTACACGCCGAATACTATGATTGATTTTTTTGCCAATAGATGTGACTGCTTAGATAAGATGAATACATTACAAGAAAAACACAACTTCCTAAAACTGAAGAGAAAATAGAATGTTTGGATAATTTCTTATTGTTAAGTACACTGAATCAGGAGTTAAAAGCCTACCCTGCAGTCCCTCCCAAAAGTTCTAAGACTTGCCTACAAAGGTCTGATTCTAATATTAAACAAATAGCTCCATGGGAATCAGAAGCACATAGTCCTCAGATCATCTTATCAAACTGGTATAACCTTAAAATCAGGCAAAGAAAACTAGAAAAAATAAATAAAAACATAGATCAATGTCTTGAACATGGATTCAAAATTCTTCAATAAAATGTTAACAAATCAAATCTAGCAGTGGTTAATAATTAGACATCATGACCAAATTGGTTTAAAGATATGTAAGTCAGATTTAAACATCAGAATAAAAAATAAAAGACATAATAAGATCATCTTTACATACATACGAACAAAACATATGTGATTAGAATAAAAATCCATTTATGATTTTTAAAAAGAATTTCAACAAGTAAAAAACAGAAGATAACACCTTTAAGCAACCAAAAAATATACAAACTATCTTCCCACACACACACACACAAAAATTATAAGCATTTTCTTTAAAATCAGGAACAAGTCTAGGATGCCACTACTACTGATCTCTGTTGGCATTCTACTGGAGATGACTGAGCAAGACAAGAAAAATAAATAAAAGAAACAATGATTTCAAAATGAAGAAACAAAACTTTCATTATTCCCAGTTGATATGACAAGAAAATGTAAAAACACCAGCAGACAATGTTCACATTTTCACCAGCCAAGTACCTGGATATAAAATAAATATTCAAAAGTATATTGCATTCTTATTTGCCAGGAGCTAGAAAACAATTTTACAAAATAAATCATTAAAATGGCCAAAACACTTAATTCTAAAATATAGAGCAAAAAAATTAAAGATTCACATGGAGAAAATTATTAGACACTAAAGAAAACACAAGTATCAGAAATAACAATCTTTTTGAATAGGAGGTCTAAAAACTGTGAAGATGGTCAGTTTGCCCCAGATTCAATGAAACGCAAACAAAATTCCACCAAGTTTTTAAAAAACCTGATTCTAAAATTCAAATAAATGAGCAAGGAACTAGAAATAGTCAAAACATTCCTAAAGGCAAATAACACAAGGAATCTGCCCTACTGTACATAGTACATACTGTTTATTGTACACTGTATGTGAAGACAATGAAGTAATTAACACATTGTGATATTAAACAAATTAACAGAACAGAACAGAGTGCTAAGAAACAAACCCATACAAAAATGAAAAATTAATATGAAACTATAAAAGGAAAACATACTAAATGTTTCAGGGACATCTAACAATATTAGCAGCGGTTATCCATTTGAGAAAAAAAAGAAACTTAAATCCTACCTCGCACTACATTAAAAAGCTAAATATGTTATTTTAAAAATGAACAACTCCAGACTGATTTTTAATCTGAAATGTGGAAGTCTTTTAGAAGAAAATATAGAAAATAAATAAATACACACACACACACACACACAGACACACACACACAGACACACACACACACACACACACACACAGACACACACACACACACACACACACACACAGACACACACACGAGACTGCGGTAGAGAAGGATTTAAGACAAAAATACAAACAACGAATCACAAAAGCAAGAGATTAATAGGTTGACAATATTAAAACAAAGAGCTTCTATTCACTAAAAGGCACTTTAAATAAAGTATAAAATTAAGCTGAACAGTAAAGCACATAAAATGAATAAAAGATACTTATTCAAAATATATTAAGAAAAAGACAAAGAATTCGGTTTTTACAAAAGCAACAAACAATGCTAGCAAGCATTTCAGTAAGGTGGAATACAAATGAAGACATGTTTGACATTATTAAATTAAATGAGCAGGAGGCCATTTGCCTGAGGCTGTCTCCTTCCCTTCAGTTAAGACCTAACAAACTACAACCTAATTTAGAGTATTTTTTTGGTAACAAATAGCTACTTTTTATCCAATCCCAGGCAGCCAACTGATCAGATTATGCCCAAATAAGGCAATTGCTTCATCATACCCTACCCAAATAAGGCAGATGCCTAGTTGCAGCCAATCAGGTAATTTCTCAATTTGCTTCCATGTTCACCCTATACGAGCTTACTGCTCACACTGCTCAGCACAGCTCTCTGAACCTCTTCTGGTTCTGAAAGATGCCTGATTCATGAATCATCCTTTGCTTAAATAAAATCTGTTAAACTTCTTGTGTCTAAAGTTTTTCTTTTAACAATAGTAATCAGGGAAACAAAAATCAAAGCAAAATAAAAGAGTATTTAGCATCTATTCAATTAGAAAAAAATTAAAAAGACTAAAAATACCATGTACTTGATAGCACAAAATGAATTCTTGAATGCTGATGGTGGGAATGCAAAAAGTTTCCCCAAAAAGACTCTGGAAAACAATATAGCATCATTTTATAGAGCTCAGCATCCACATTCCCTATATATGCTCTAGAAAACATTCACACATAGGCACCAGAATAAAAAAATATTTATACCTGCATTGTTTATGATAGCAAAAGGTGGAAATAACTTAAATCTATCAGAAGAATGGGCCAACAGTTTCACACAGTGCAGTGTTATTACAACAACGAAAAGTAACAGCTCTGTGCAACAGCATGGGTGAATCTCAGCAACAACGTTAAGTGAAAAAGGCTGCAGAAGACTATGTATAATTTCATTTCATTTAAAAGTTCAAACTCAGGCACAACTAGAAAATATATCATTTGGGGATACATACTTTTATGACATAACTGTTTTTTAAAAGGACTGAAATGATGGCTACAAAACTGAGGACAGTAAAACCTCTACAGAAGAGGCAATGGGGTGAATTGCCGATCAGCATGGGAATGGATACAATGGTACTGTCAACATTGCCGTTCTTAAATTGAGTGTGAGAATCAAAGATTACCATGTCATTCTTATGGTTTGTACTTTAATATGCTACATATATTAACTTATATGTGTCAAGCATTCTATGATACAAGTTTAAAACAAGGTATTAAAATTAAAGCTTGAGACAGCACATAAAAGCTCTCCTAATCGATCTACTTATTTCTTCCCAGTTAATTTTAGTCATATTCCATTACCACACCTGTGACAGTCACTATTTTATGTATTTCCCACTCAATAATTTTAAAAATAGTGTCACGCACAATGCGTGTTAGGAATCGGGAGATAGCATTGTAAGGAAAACCATAATGACGTTATGGAGAATTGTGTGAATGTTGCATCCTTATATTTATCCCCAAATTGATTAAAATCAAAATAAATCAAAGTCCTCTGATTTTCATTTGAAAGCAGGGAAAAAGAATAAGTACATTAACACAATTTAGTGCATTTCTTTATTCTAGTGGTGTATAACACGCAAAGTCAGTTGATTTGCTTCCATATTACATTAAACAGATTTAACTCTCTTTAAATTGTTAAAATATAGGAGGAAATGTCTTTTTTAATATATTTATGAGCAAGTTGCTTTTAAGACCCTACTGCTATGCTAGATACTTTTGAAAATAAATTAGTTACTTGTCCTAATAATTACAAAAAAGAGGGAAAGGGAAAAAGAGCCTTATATAAGTTAAAGACCACATAACCTACAATGGAGACAAAGCCTTAGAACTATAAGCAGCATTTAAAGAAAATTTTTTTTAAGCCAACGTGGTTAAACTTAGAGGGTGAAAAAACCCAAAGTACATCAGAAAGACAATGTGAAAGAGATCTATCATAGATGACTTACCATAATCTAAAATGAATGACTATATTTTTAAAGTATATTCTTTGATGGAAGAAATGAATTTCCTTTAAAATAAAATAGGTAACAGCAAGAAAAGGTTTGAAAATTCTCAATACCTCTGTTACTCAAAGACTTCTTTTTCATGTAAAGAGAAATTGATATTATTCCTTACTTACATTTGAAAGAGAAAACTATTTTATTTTTAATTTGCCCAGAATTGCTGTATAAAAATGAAAGCCAAGTAGTAATTCTATGCAGTGAACTGCACAGAACAATGCTCGCTTGGTATTCATCCTAGCTCTTAAATAAATGTAGCCTGCCAACTGTAGCCCAATCCATTATTCTGAACCTCATTATCCAGTTCCTCTTTCTAGAACCTTTGTTCCATTTCCTCCTTACTATCAGGCATTTAGTTCACTGTTCTGAAAACTCTTTGCCAAAGAAGTAACAAGGAAAAAAAAAAGACAACATTCACTTTGCTACTTGAAGCAGCTCTAAACCATGGCTAGATGTAAAAAAAAAAAAAAAAAAAAAAAGGCTGGCTCTAGACAAAGAAAACTTTAAAATTATGGCCTCTTATAACCCAAGTGTCATAAACACCTTAGGCATTTAAGAGGAAGAAACCTTCAGTCAAGCCTTCAAAGGGACAGCATGACCATGCATGGAGACATCTCTGCTCTTTCTATCCTTGCTTTTCTGCAAGAATGTCATTAGAGGGTCAGATATACATGGCCCTTCCAAAGCTCCCATGGAAGGAGTGTGGGGTGAGGACAAGGAAGACATGAGGGGTGCTACAAAGCACCTCATTAAATGTTAAGACCAACCCCAAACTACCTTGGAGGCTTCACAGGCTGGTCCAAGGGATGGAGAACTGGGATGGCAAGAAATTATTTACCCTACAGTTACCTATTCAGCAGTCTAACTGGATTTAAAAGCTACTTTTTTTGTAAAAAGGTTTTCCATTGGAATCCTAATTAGCTAAATTACTCTGTCAAAACAGTCTACTGTAATTTGAAGATATAACAAGACAAAATAAATAATAAATCATGGAATATAAATGTCATAAAGAGAACTTTATCTTCTCACAATATTAAAAGCACATAATTTTGCTCATTAATAGATAGTGTTTAAACACTATTCATCTCACTATCTGATCATCCCTACGTGGTCTTATGCATCGCATCTATTTTTTTATATTATTTGGAAAGATAGTCAATTGCTTTCTATGGTAAAAACCAAGTTTTTCCTTTCTAGTTTTAATTTTAATACAAAATTATACCCATTGTAGCTAGTAAAATAATACAAAGGCGTATAAATGAGTGGGTCATCTTCCCTTGCTCCTCTTCCCACTATTATACACATATCTATGCATAAATCCTTTCCAACATTGTCCAATCTCACAGAAGCCTCTGTGTGTGTACACATACACAAATCTACTTGCATATACACTTGACTTTGTTAGTTTTCACAAAAAAATAGGATGTTTTATGTGGACATTGCAATGTTTTTCTTATTTGATAAGTCATCACCATCAACTAAAGTAATTAACATTTTTTCAAAGCTGCATGATATCACAAAATATGAGTATATTACAAATTATTCAACTATTCTTCCACTGGCTAGTATTCAGGCTGTTATAGTTGCCTTAGGTTTTTGTCAAAAACAAAACAAAACAAAAAACAAAACAAAAAAAAAACTGCATCACATGAAGACACACATGAAGACACATGCATGGACATAGCCAACTGTGTCTCTTATATTGGTACTTTCATTGCTATAGGACAGTGTCAAACAGGACTTTCAAAAGAGCTACAATAACCTTTCATACGTCTACCAGTCATACATTAACATGTGGGAAACAGTTACAGAATGTGCTGTGTAACTAAAGCAAAGTCCATAAAATTTTAAGTATCAATAAGTTCAAAGGGATTTCTAATTTTGTGATGTCTACATTGATTTATTTAGTAAAGCTGCATTTATGAGGTATATGTACAGACATCACTGCAAGAATAAAGTTTATATTCAAGCTGACTTTAATTTACCTTTTTTTGAAACTTCTGCCCCATTAAGTTCTTTTTGTGCTTCTTCAATTTTGTCTAAGAAAAACAGAAAAAATTATAAATTAATTGACCTTAGACAAATAAGAATACAGTAAAGCAAACATACTACTCTTAAACAGTGTCAGATACATAGTAATAAATATGTGTTGAATAAATTATGAAACAGATGTGTATAAACTGTTAAAGTAAGGATATATTTCCTTTTAAATTTATAATTTTAATCATTTCTTAGTCACAAGGACTACTTCCAATTAATAAATATTTCCATAATGCAAATAATGAGTGTACTTTAAATACCAAACTACAGCTTTAAAAGTTTAGTAATCTAATACAAGTATCTAAAAATAATACTATCTTTACATACAAAGTACCTAATAGGGATTTAGAGATGTACCTAACAGGGATTTAGAGATATAACAAATGCCTACTAGCTTAGAAACGACCAGACTAAGCAGAATTAAGACCTAAGACAGAAGACAGAAAAGGATGGAAAAACAGGCAAGGATGAGCTGAAATGTGGCATGGCAGAAAGTGCCTATCCCTTGCTGGTGGCACAGAGCTGGCAGCATCTATGAAGTATGAGGGAGGGCAGGGATTAAAGAGATACTATATACAACTGACTGCAGAACTGTTACACATGTACACAGTTTTGCCAGACAGATGTAACCCAGGCGCAAAGACTAACAGAGCTGGGGGCAGTGCCTTGGTCCTGCTGTTCTTCGATCTGGGGATCGGAGCACACCTGAATTTTGTAAATATATGCATGTTCTACTTCAATACTAATTAATTTAAATTTTATAAGGATAACATACTTTATGGCATGGGCAGTAATCAATTCCAAATTTAAGACACTGATCTAGGTACTTATTAAAATGGTAAAGAGAACAAATTCCCAGCGTACTATTTTGTACTGAATTGAAGACAATATTGGTAATTATATAACATTTTAGATATCCGAAATATGCAAGCACAATTTAGGTAAGTGCATCAGCCTCAGAAATTGTCTCCAATGCTGACCCTACCACTGCTCACCGCCCATGGAAGATATAACCTCCAATATGGTATCCTACCCCAAATAAATAAAAGTCAGACACCACACACCATGGGCCCTTCAAACTATGATCTACCTACCTCTCTCCCTATCTTGCCAGAAAAGGCCAAAAATTCAGAGAACCATCTATTTACAGATCAAACGTCCTTCGACTGCATATTGATCCAACCTGCCAAGGCAATATGGGAGCCGCAGAACAAAGGAAGCAAGCTAGTTTGAAATATGAGACATTACATCTCAGCAATAGTAAAAAATAACTAAATTCTCATCTGATAAATTTATCGCCCATAGCAATGTCCTATTTGCCTCCTGCAAATTATCAGATCTAGAATATAATTTGAGAGTACTACAGGCAATCTTTAGAATAAGACAATTTTTCTGATTTACAAACTTTACTGATTTCTCATGAAACAATGAGTGAAGCTAAAAATAGTACTGGAAAAAACACACATTAAATGCAGAAACTGGATCTTGCGTTCAGTGGTAGTTTTGCTTCAAAGAGAAAAATACGGAATGCTTGCATGAAATCTATATTAACACAGCATAAGCAATCAAAAGCTAAGGCCCCCTTTTACAAAATGAAATACATGAGTTACTTGTAGATATTTGAACTATAAATAAACAAATCACATAATATATAGTACTTGAAAAACATCTAAAAGGAGTTTACCAAAGCACTGTTATTTCTATTGCCAGTAGTTCACCCAAACTTAAGAATCATAAATAATATATATGTATTATATATTCACAGTAGTAACAACTGTGCTTAATAGTTTATGTGCACATAATTTTGCATTATATAATAAAAACAACTTTTTCTTAACAGAATCAATTGTGGCTTAAAGCAACAAAAACTCATGATTAATGAACACTTAACAGAATAGCTGCTATTTAGTAACTGAAGTCTGACCACTTTCTGTTTGCATTTCAACATAACAAAACTCTTACAAAAATAACCTGTTTATATTTGCTTACAAAATACTAGTCTCCATTTTTAAATTTTTCAGTCAAGTTACCTTTTTATCTTGATAATCACTGTATGCAAATTTAGACTATTGATTTAGGACATTTACTACATTAACTATAATAAGTACCTCCTCCAGGTCAATAGGTAAACAATCTCCAATTTGCTTCTACCAGCCATTATAAAAGCTTTTACTTTGGTCAAGTTTTATTAAAATTCCTGTTTATATTTAGCCTGTTTTTATAATTCTCCTGGTAAATATGTGTTTTAAAGACACGCTCCAAAATTACAGAGAAAGTAGTCATTTATTATATGCTCTTAATTCATACAAGACAGTTTACTGATATTTAAAGCATTATTTACATTTTTTTCACCATGACACAGAAAAAATATATTTTTACATTTCAACCCATATCACACATACATATATATTATGCATACATGTAATTCAGAAGCAAATCTCTCCACACTCTACTTTCTTTTCTTCCCTATTAAAAATGAAAAATTCTGCCCCTATCGCAACTACATTCATTTTGGAACTCCCCACTGGACTATAAATTTACACCTTGAAGTTCACCAATATAAGACGCAATTTTGAACACATACTTTTTGCCAAACTTTTACCAAGGATAACACTTCCCAGCAATCACATCTCTCGTGTAAGTATCGATTTGGGGAAGGGGAAGCAAAGGGGGGAAAAAAGGTATCTTAGATTCTGAGACATCCCCTAACATGCCCTCCCCATCATCACTGGGATCTAGGCTAACAATCGCACAAAGAACTACACATTCAGAAATAAATCATAGTTTCTCTGTTGCTGTTACCTAAAAATAAAAAGTCGATACACAAAAAGACTACTCATACCTTATCAGTAAATCTGAAGCCAGTAATATGCATTCTTACTATAATGAGTTCTTACCATATTTAAATTAAGATGCAATCTTAATTCATTCCATTTTTACATTAAATATACTTGAAGGAGTTGTCACTTGGGAAAAAATTCCAGCAAACACATGAATGGATCCCCCATCTTTAAGATCCAGAGAGGCCAGTGGCTAAAAGAGTAACAGGCTAGAAGTAACTAATACCATAGATTACATCTTTGTTATGCAACTATTACAAATGTATACATTTTTACAGTTTTTCTTTCTTCTCCTTTAAAACACAGAAACTGTTAATGACAAACGCTAAGAACTACCTTGTATGATACCTTAAATTAAAAATTGTTTTTGTAAGAAAATGATGTAAAAATATCTTATTTTCATCATTTATAAATAATCACAAAAGAAGTCTCTGCATTAGTTAAACACAATCTGAAACCACTGAACAAAAGAAAAGGTCCTAGAGCCCTTAAGAAATAATATTCTTTCTTTTAGGGCTTCTGGAAGAAGACTAAATAATTAAAAACAAATCATTTATAAAAACTAAATAATCTTAAAATAAGGATTTACAGTAAGCCCTTGCTCTTTGACCATTCTTCAGTCTATGCTAAAGTATGTGGTGGGAGGGGTCTCTCACCATCTCAGAGGCCTGAATCTCACTCCCCAAGAGCCTTGGAATCTCATACATCACAGGTTAGGGGACCAGCCCACTAAGCTGTTAGGATTTGGTTCAATGAATGCTGTGTTTTTACTGTTCTGAATGCCTGCTCTGTGTCAGGTATAATGTGAAGAGTTACAGGGACAAAGGTATCAGGCTCTCCCAGAGGGGTTTCTACTTTACCGTATCCTTACAATCATTTTACTATCAACTTGATGGTAAATAAGGCTCAAATTCTCTGTGTGGTTTAAAGGTTCTTTAGCGTAGTTCTTTGTGAAATTGCTAATCCAGACCCCAGTAATTGTGGGGAGGGCATGTTGGGGAATGTCTCAGAATCTAAGATACAATTTTTTTCCTTTCTCCCCCTCCCCCAAATCAAGACTTAATGGTGAGAGATGTGATCTAGTTACCTCTTTGCCCTTTGCCACTCCATTCTCTCTTCAAGATCAGCCACAGTCAAGTCCAGGCTCAACCAGAGCCTGGGACTTAATAGCACTCTGTCCTCTTCTCTGAAGGCACCTCCCACACCGTCTCTTCTCTATGCGGCATCCTTTCAAGATGGGGCTTCTCTGGGCAAACTTCCCCAACATCCTTGTCCAAAGCTCATCACTCTGTCCTCTGCACCACCAGTAAACATTGTGCATAGAGCCCACAGAACTGTTTCTCTATAGCTGCATAGCTTGTGATCATTAGTAATAATAGCAATTAGATGGAGCTGAGTGGTTTACCGATCACAGAAACACTGACAGGACAATAACTTGCCAAGTGACACAGAACCTAAAGCACCTACACACAAACTGAAAACTGGCACTGGGTGGTTTGGCTTAAGAATTGAGCATGTTAGCATCTTTAACGTTATAAATGATTTCAACATTTGGGAAGCTATATCAGTATACTAAAAGCACTGGAGTCAACTATTACTCCCTTAAATTTAGAAGAGGTCTGAATCACGTCTCACTCTGTTAGCTCACCCTTCTCTCTCGCTGTTCCGCTGGGCAGCACCATATAGCTTCTGCGCTAGCACCTGTACATATTCAGCCTTATAAACCCACACTGCTAACATTTTATGAAGTAGATCCTAATGAACTGCAAAAGGCACCTCTGTTTACTGAAAGATGTACCATCTGATTGAAAAAAGATCACCATATGTAACTGTACTATTTTTACTACTGAATAAAGCATAATTCCTACTTCCTCTCATTATACGCCAATGCAAGCGCCTTATTCTTACTGTGAACTGTAACTGGTATTTCAACAGCACTAAATGACAATGGCATAAAATTAAAATTGTATTCAGCACACACAATCACTTATACATGCTCTTCTAAGTGAAGATTATTCTAGTCTTCACTTAAAAAAGTCCTTAGTTTACTAAGTAAACTAAGTAAACCCACCTGTATAAGCAACCCACTTTAACCTACAAGTTTCACATCTTGAATATGTCTGAACTTACCTTTCTCTGAGGAAGATGACACACAGTTATAATGCTGAAAATGATAGTCTAGACTAGCAGTATTTCAAACAAAAACACTGCCTGCAGTAAATGAAAAAGAAAGCAACGACTCAACTCTGTGCTAAAATCCTAGAAAAACATACCATCACCCAAACTGATCCAGAATGAGGAAAGCTTGATCAGAATAACCGGCACTGATAAAGCTGAGAAAGTTGCCACAGCATTACACATTAATTTGCTTTTTAAAAAGGTTCCAGATCCAGAGAATTTTATTATCGACTTCTTTCAAATTTTAAAGAATAATGCATGTCCTAAACTGCTCCAGAGCCCAGGATAACACAGAAGGCATCCTACATCATTTTATACAACTGCCACGCCTCAGATACCAAACCCAGCCAGAGGGGCAGAAAAACCAACACCACACATGAACACAGCATTAACAATCTATATCAAGAAGCACGTTCACAGAAAATAAGAAGCAAAGCTATTTCAATATTCAGAAGCAACATATTATAATTTATCACAGCAACAGGACAAGGAAGGGGAGTAAAGATAAGTTAAATAATGTCCCAGATGAACTTGATTAAATCACATTATCTTTAATGTTTCAAAAAACCCTTAGTATTAAATAGGAAAGGATATTCTTCATTATACTCACCAACCATGTTGCCTGACCCCCCGCAGCTCCGGTAGGGAGCCTTCCCTGACACCTCCCGCAAACTCCACTGTGCCCCCACACTCTTTTCTCACCCCTAGAGCAGCAATGGTCCTCACAGCATATTCTGGAGTCTGCCTGCTTGCTTTCCACACCAAACTGTATCTTACTCAACAGAGTGCATAGTTGCCAGGGTCACTAGACCCTTGACCCATAGTTGTCCAATAAATGAACTGCTATTGCGGTATTACTGCAGCATTTTTATTAATAATAACTTGGCAGGAATTCTATATACAAAACAATATGGAGCTGGTTAAACAAATACTTAAATATTTCTATACAAAAGAATATTGTTTAGCCATTAAATGTATTTTTTAAAAATACTTATTGATGAAAAATGCTAAACATATTAAGTAAAAAAAGATCTGATTTTAAACACTTTGTGCCCTGAAGATGAATGTGCAGAAATGTACACAGACACACACACACACACGACAAACATATATACTCATATGTCTACGAGGAAGGCCCAACTGGATATCTGGGGGTAGTACATTAACAGAGAGTTTTCATTTTACTATTTCTATTTTCTCCAATTACTAAAGTACCTATCATAAATACATATCTTAACATAAACTATATTATTTAAATTCAATAAAACCTAACAATGTGCTAAATTATCTTTTTAAGAAAATACTAGCTATTAAGTTCTAAACTGCAAACTTCCAGATCATAAGGAAAACTACAGAATAACTCCAAAAACATGGAACCATTCATCCACAGAGTTCAGTGGGCTCAGAATATATTCATTAGCTCCTGTGTGCCAGCAATGACGATACTCAAAGATGAACAACCTAGCATGCAGGAACTTAGAGAAGTAAACAAGCAATTCCTAGCCATGCAGTAATGGTGTGACTATATCCACAGAGTAAAGGGCATTCGGGTAGGGGGGCATTAGGGTTTGGAAAGGCAAGGAGGCAAGTTTATTGAGAATACAAAGCAATTTAAATACATGAATCTAGAGAGAGCAGATTCTAGCGGTACAGAGTTCGGGAGCCACTTTCTTACATAACTAGTAGTTTAACCACAGCCTAGAGTAGAAGCAAAAATAGAGCTTTCTATGGAAAAAACTTGACCACAGGTATCAAGGTCTTAGAAAATCGCATCTTTTAATAGAGTAATTCAGTCTCCAGTGAGACTACGAAAGAAGTGAAACAAATGCTACTTATCAGAGTGCTTTTCATGACAGACAAAAACTGAACAATCAGTAGTACCTGGGATATAGAAGGTACTCAATGAATATTTGTTGAATGAATATTTAAGAAATGGTTAAATTATGGTACCTGTATACGACAGAATATTACAGAGCCATGATCCTGTAGGTTTCTAGAAGGACATACTGAATCAGCTACTCCAGGAATGACACCCGACTGTATACATTTTAAAAACTTTGACAAATGGTTCTCTTGGTTTAATTACTCTCCAATTAAGGCAGAATGGGAGGTAGTTCCAACTTTATATGATCAAGCAGAGGAAAAGAAACCCAAAAAAGAGGCAAAAAAGGAGTGGTTGAAAAAACAATTAGAACAAAGTATTTTGGCCACAGAAGTCAAGAGAACAGCGTTTCAATGTGAAATCAGCAGAGGATGCAAACAGTAAGGATTGATAAAGCTTTCCATGAATGGAGCGATTAAGAGGCCACTGGTGGTGTTTCCCAGAGCATGAAGGGAATGGGAAAGCCCAGAGGAAGTGGGCTGAGGAAGTGATGGGACGAGCCGGAGGGGAGAGGCGAGAGAAGAAAGCAAAGTAGAACTGTCTTACAAACTCCTGAGCTTAAAACAAGACAGTGATAGAGAAACACAGGGTCAAAGGAAAGGAGCTTGATTTGTTTTGTTCTTCCAAGAAGTTTATAGGCCCAGTGGGAGGAGCCAATAAAAGAAGAGTGAAAATACAGGAAAGAATAAGAGGTGTGGCGGGCAAGGTTTTAGAGAAAGCACAGCAGAGCATCAGGAGTCCAGGAGGAGCACTGGCTTAAAACGGGAAGACCCAAGGCTGTTCTCTGAGGCCAGAGGGAAGGAAAAGAGGACAGAAGGTATGTTGGGTGAATGAAACGTCTGCGAGTGGAAAGGATGAATTTAAGGCAATACATATCCAACTGCCTCTCTATACTGAGGTTAAGAGACACTGTTGCCTACAAAGAAAAAGGAGTTTAGTGAGTGTGTAAGAGGCCACAGAGACTGATGAAAACACAGCAAAGTCACTCATGGGAACACAGGAGCCGACCAAGTGCGAGGACAAATAAAAGCACTGCTGAACAGCAACTAGGAAATCTGTGAATGTGGAAATCCATGCATTTTTGGTGTCTCCAGTCTGCACGGCAGTTTCATCTACTCTTACAAAGTTTGGCAACTCGGATGAAGAAGTGGAGAAGGAATGTCACATTTGGATTTTTCCAACAGGAAAGAGGGAAAAGTTCAGTGAGATGAAGGTGCTAGAGAGGAGTTCATCTGATGCACCAAATATGCGGGATGGATAGAGGATAGAAAGGCAGTGTGAAGAGTGACACAGGTACCAAGAGCAGATGGCTGAACAGGAGGGGGGAGCTGGGAGTCTGAGTGCCCAGAGATAGAGGGAGCTGCAGGTTGTAATTGATTTCTAGGTAATGGTTCAAGGGTTTTTAGAAGATCCAGAGTGGTTATGGATAAAATAGAGTAGCGATAAAAGTTAAATGGACATGAACAATATCTACCCTAGTGTGATAATGAGCTGTGGAACAGCAAAGATGATTAGGAACAAAACATCCTATAATAAAATTTAAAATGTGAAATGTGTCATCTTGCTATACTTTTATGTTCTGCCCTTTGCAAAATTGTTCACTTATCCTTTTCAGAAAGCATGTTTCCATTGTGATACCGAAAAAACCTTTTAAAAGTTCAAAGAGAAAAGTAGATATGAGGTCCATTATGCTTTTAAAATTATAGATCAACTAAATGTTGTGTTTCTTCTTTAAGAAAACCACCTTGATATCAAAACAGAACATGAAAATAACAAAATGTACATAGACACAAAACAAATATATTACACTGAGCCTCCTAAGGATTTTACATTATTTTGTTTCTTAAAATATCTAATTATTTATACATACAGTATATATCAATCGCCTGGTTTCATCTGGCAGCCTTGATCTGAGAACTGTGTGAGACCACCGCTCTTGAACTGAACTTTTCATAGTGGGGGAAAGAAGTTCCTCCTTATACTAAATATCTTTGTACCTGTAGAGAATGCCAGGAAGTGCACTGTCTTTGATGGGTGAGCACACATTTGCTAAGAAGTAAAAATAAAAGCAAACTCCCAAAGTCTCCTTCCCAAAACCTCACACTATTTCAGAGCCCACAGGAGCCCAGGTGAGGGGCTGAGCTAGAAGTCCAAAAGCACCTTCTTTACATAGGTGTCAAATCCACTTAGCCCAAGGATGATTCTCTTAGCGTCACCCTTTTAGCTCCTGCTTTGATGACCCTTTATGCAGCCCCTAAAACAGTAGAACCCAACTTTTGCTGCATACTTTTTTGAAGATTTAACTTGTTTATTAATGAGAGAAACAGCAAGACATTACAACTCATTCAAGGGAGAATTCAAAGACTCCATATATATATATATATATATATATATATATATATATAGAGAGAGAGAGAGAGAGAGAGAGAGAGAGAGAGAGAGAGACCATTAGGAATGTCAAAATAAATTTGCTTAATTATGTGAAAATAATCAACATCTATAGGGCAATAATCAATTGCATCTTCACTAGGCACAATTTGTATTTCCATGGACAAGAATCAAATCTGTTGTATTAATTTCTATAACATACAGGGGTTGTTAAATAATTGCTGCATATTTGAGTCACTTAATATTAGTCACCTAAAAATCTTGATACTCAGGCTGCACCCATACCAATTAAATCAGCATTTTAAAAAGTTTCCCAAGTAATTCCAACATGCAGCCAACCTTGCGAATTGATGTTCTTTAAATTACAGATATTATCTGGTCACGATTCAAAATTGTACAAAATGCACGTAGTTAAGGGAGAAAAGTCTTATCAGCCAGGTCTTTGAAGCAATGTTTTATCAAGTACGAGGGGCAGCAGCATCTGTCTGCCTTATCAAAGCTGCTGCTGATGATAGTGGATACTGAGGAAGATAAGGAAGGAAGAGTTCAATGTGCACTTCATGGCTAAGAATGTCTAATTAAATTATACCTCTAAAATCCAGAGCCAAAGCCTATATTCTTAATAGGTATTAAATCAAAAATAGATCTAATAATTATTACTGTCAGCCCTAAACCAAAACATAATATTCCAGCTGAAAATTTAACACTTAGAGATATAAAAACTATTTAAATACATAAACTATTGTTATAAAGATGTTGAAAATTTGCAAGATTTCCAATATATGTTTCTAATAATATAGTGTTCTAATAATCACAACTAAATATGTTGCCCACTGTGGGGTGGATATAATTATTAGGATATGACAACATTGCTTTCGTCTTCCCACTGGATGATTTCTGATGTAGTGAATGGAAGGAGGTAGCCATCGTAACAATGGTGCGAGAGAAAGGAGCATGAAGACAGCGTTCTCACCCTGAGAGGCTGTATGCCAGGGTCTACTGAACTTGGGGGCTACTAATCCAGTATAGATTCACACATGCACGCATATGCGCGCGCACACACACACACACACACACACACACACGGGCACATGCGCCCACACCCTGAATTTGGGGCTAAGGATGTACATTTACAGATGCTTCGGAGAGACCCAGGAGGTGTGGATCTCAAAGAGTAGAAAAAGCAAAGTCACCAGCATGCCCCTCCAGCTTTTCAGGCAGGCCACTGCCCCAACCCTTGTCAGCAAATACCTACATCCATTTTTCCCTATAATCAATTTTAAAAGGAGATTTTTTGTTTTTTTTAAGAGGACTCAGATACAAGGTGTTGCTATTACCTGGGGCAAAAACACAGAAACTAAGCCACTAAGTTCAGTGAACTCTGGCTTAGTTTCTGTGCCTCTGCAGACCTGAGCCATGCACTTAGCTCACCGCAGGCCAGGAACCACGAGAAGCGTACTTTGGGTTGGGGTGAATCTTATTTTGATATTTCGGATTTCTGGTTCTGTTGGAACAAGATGCAGTCTGAGAAAAGCTTGGACTACTGGTACTGGGGCAAAAGATTTGAGCAACAGAGACAGGCAGGGCAGCACCAGGCCTGACGATGCAGACCAAGCCAAACAGAAGCACACATCACCAGGACTATTCTCTCAGATGTTCTTCAATGCTAAGTTGTGCATTAGTGACTATGTTTTTAGCCATTATTGCTGAGTCAGTGCTTCGGTTAGCATCTTTCACATCCCTTCTCTAGGAGTACTGAGATCAACAGATCTGCCTGTCAGTTATCAATCCTATAGCCAATATTCACAACTATCCCATTAACTTGCCCTACGCATACCCCTTCATCATCTTCTTACCTAAACAACGTCCTCTTCTTTTGTAATCCTTTCCAGAATCAGTAATTCTCTGTGGGGGAAATACAACAGCAAGCAAGATATAGCCTCTTTATCAAAATGGTACTCCATCACATTCTGTGATCTCAAATTACTACAGATACAAACACATCCGTGTTCTCTAAGGGAAAAGGAGAGGATGAAGATTTAAAATGTGAGAGTAGTGGAAAAGAAACAGTGAAAATAACCGTCCAACCGTCTTTTGAGGAAGAAGAGGGAGACTAAGAGGCATAGAAGATGAGAAAGGGAAGAATGCCATTGCCTTTCTTCTAGAACTCTCAACGGAATGAAATGTCAGTGTTAGTTAAATAATACTCTGAGACTTGTTTTCTACTACAGACCCAACGAACAGCTAAGACTTAAGACCTTCCAGCCCCATTCGCTGCATTTATCACCACTGTGCAGGCGCCTTCAGCTGGTGGCGCTCTAGCCCCACCCACCCCTTGTAAGTCTGGCACATTCCCTGAGGAAGCTCCTTCCTTCAGGAAGCTCTCACTTTCCCATCATGTGCTAGGAACTTCGACAAGTGCAGATAACTTCTGGCAAGGACACCAAGGACTTCAACGCTCCTGTCCAGGCTCCCATGTCACGAGAGCACCCACCTGGTGTCTTGAATGTAACCCTGAACAAAGCGTCCCTCTGGACACAATGGCATTGCCACCAGGGATTACGTTAACGGGATGAGCTCTGTATTGCCAGTGACAATAAAGTCAGGCACATTGCAAATTAGATACCTTTTGCAGGCTAGGCGGAAAACCTAATCTGATACGACACATTGTTACTAAGGGCAAATGTGGTCTGGGCGCCAAACCCCAGATTTAACACTGAGTTTTTGTTGCATAATCCAGTTATAATTAGGACCTTACTTCGTGTGGCTCTGGTTCACAATGCTTCAGATAATTCACTTAGGAAGGAAACTGTCAGTGAGAGAAGTTTCTGGGCTCTTCCTGGGGCTATGGTGGTTGTAGTTTAGGGCCCCAGCCTCCTATCTGATATACATCATCCCTCCAGCAAGATCCACCTCTACGGAAAACTTACTCTAGGTCATCTGTGCTCAGATCACAGAGACTCTGAAAAGGCCTCTCTCATGTAACGTTAAGCAGCTGACTATATCCTAATTAAAAATGAAACAAGAATTCTCTTTCCTTCAGTACCATTCACAAATTTGACAGACACATTCACTCACTACCTACTGCATAGGTATGGGTATCTGCTGTGGTCTGAACGTTTTTGTCCACTCCAAAATGCATGTGTTGGAAACTTAACCCACAATGCAACAGCACTGGGAGGCAGGGCCGACTGGGAGGTGTTTAGGTCATGGGGGCTCCATTCTCATGATGGGTTTATGCTTGCAGAAGTAGGTTCACTTTCTTCTGCTCTTCTGCCATGTGAAGACACAGGGTTTGTCCTTCTCTTAACCTTCTGCCTTCCTCCACGTGAGGACACAGCAAGAGGACCCTCACCAGGTGCTGCCATCCTGATCTTGCAATTCCAGCCCCCAGAACTGTGAAAAGGAAATTTCTGTTCCTTTATAAATTACCCAGTCTCAGGTATTTTGTTACAGCAAGCACAAACAGACTAAAACAGCATCTGTCTCTCAAAGTTGTCTTCAAAGCAATTTTATCTGATTTTGAATTATTTTTTGTGAATTTTTATTTCAAAAAGTATACCATACTTCAAATCAACAAACATGTGCTTAACTAGTAACCCATACAAGTCAAAGCCATAAACAGAGATACCCTGCGCAACAAATGTATACTCAAATATAATCTGATGCTATTGAAAGAATACCTAAAAACTTAAAAGCAGTTAGTGAAAATTCTTTAATAAAACATATTTATATATTTGACCATTTGAAAAAAAGACCAATGGTGAAAACTCTATAGGGAAAACAACTCAGTTTGTTTCACAAATAACCCGCAAAAATAGCAAGAAGAGAAATGGAAAGGATACCCACAGATCAAACGAACACAAAGGATACATCAACTTATAAAATATGTGGAACTTATTTGCCCTGATTCTAACAAAATGTTTTTAAAACTACAACACTAGGACAACTAGAAATTCAAACACTGACAGGATATTTGACCATATTAAGGAAACTACTCTTATTTTGTTTGTTTCAAAAAGGTATTGTGATGATGTAAAAAGATATCCCTTATCTTTCAGAGTTTATATAATGAAGACATATGAATGAAATGATATCCCCTAGGTTAGTTTTGAAGCAATGTGGGAGGGTGGAAGTAGCAGAGTGGTAAATGCAACCAGACTGGTTACCAGCAGTGAATGACTGAAGCTGAATGACAGGTAAATGGAGGTTTATTACACTATTCTATTTTGTAACCATTTTAAAACTTCCATAATCAATTTTTTTTTTAAAAAAGCCCAATCTGAAATTTTTTAAAAATTGAAAGATTACCAAAGTATCATTCACATGTTATCATGTTAGTAATAATAAACAAGAAATGACATGTAACAGTGCAAGATGAGTGAGGCGAAGCATCTAAAGGCCAGTGCATAGTGGGCATTCAAAAAGGTCACTGCCCCTAAAAATAATCTGAGCCCAAAGGAAAGGAAATAATTTCTGAACTACCACTAGGAGTCAGGTTTACACACACCAAAGCTGAAAGGGTAACAAAAAGAATAGAAAACAATTTCTAGAAATATGATATCCAATGTTCTTCATTCCTTTTGATGGGGTGGGGGCAGGGGGTCAAAGGCCTCCCCTTTAAGAATCTGAAGATTAGAAAGCCTTCAAGATACCAAATTTAAAAAGCAAAACCCAAGGAGCAGAGCAATGTACATGGTATACTGCCATGTGAGTCGTGCATGAGTCTACGTGCCTATGCGTGTGCAGGCAAGGATACACAGTCACTGCTGCAGACAGCCCTGAGGAAAGGGACCGGGTGAGAAAGACATATATTTCATTGCACTTGTTTATTGTCTTTGCTGTTTGAATTAGTTAACTTAGTGAGATTTAACTTTAGTTTTTGAAATTTAAACAACATATGATACATGCAGTAAGTATTTCAACTATCCCGATTTGCCACTGTTAATGTTACCACACCAGTTTCCAGGATATTTTCATGTTTGT